AGAGTCTTGTCACTGGGCATCTGTCCATCCGGCTGGATCCCATGTTCCAGGCAGTAAAGCTCCCAGCAGGCATTGCCGATCTGGACACCAGCCTGACCAACGTGGATGGAGATACACTCACGCTGTGGAGAGAAAAGAAAAAGAAGAAAAAGGTCATCTCTCTATATTTAATTTGGATTTTAGTCCACATTTTGTCACTGCTTTTACATGTAACCTCTCTCAAGACATGCATCTTAAAATTGGACACATTTAGTTGCCCCCTCTATCTGAGATGAGCAGTGCAGCAGGAGGTACCTCCCTGCACCACAAACAGCGGGGAAAAGAAATGCCTGACAGCAGCAGCCCCCGCAGAGGCAGGACGCTCTCCTCTTCCCTCCAGTGTTTTTTGTCCTCTTGTCCTTTTATCCCTCTCTCTTACCTCTCCCCCTCTTTTGCAAGCAAAAGCACACATGCAAATTGATTTCCCTAAACAAATGCGCACAGCCTCGAATATTCCACTTGCTTCCATGTCTTGAGGATGCAAAATCACAGTGAAGAAAACATAAAATCAATAGATCTATGTATTTTTGTAATGCACAAAACCTTAATTTGGTCCTAATTAAATAATCATACAGAACACAAATTGTCTTCGAGAGTGTATGTTTATTTAATACTTCAGGACAAATATAAAAATAGAGGCATTTTGTTGTGTCAAATTTATTTTCTTTAACCTTTACATTTAATTAAATTAAAAACACATTTGCTGCTGCATCCTATGAATTAAAAATGATAGCTGCAATTTAATTTCTCCATCCATCCCCACCCAATCTGCCCCTCCCTGCCTTTAAACAGGGTCGTGAGTTTGTAAGGTGCCAGATTTATGATTTTTACGTGTTAAAATGACAAAAAATGTGAATATTTACATAAATAATGCTATTCATTTATATGAAAAGCAGCTCTACTGTCTTTATTGTCTAAACAACGCCACTCTGTGCATTGTTCTCATCTCTACACAATGCCAATCACATCGTGCCACTGCCGCAGACCAAGTCTGTGCATCATCTCTGTAACACGATTTGTTTTCACGCTAAAATATATCTATATCAAGTGTTTCGGTAACAACCTAGCTATTCTACGCGTTTATGTGTCTACTGAACTTTAAAAATGGGTTTCTAGCGATGGGAACCCCGTTCAACAACCGAGACACCGGCGCCTGACTAACCTGAAATTCCACCTTACAAAAACGGTTTCAGAGAGGAACGAAGGGAAATATCTTACCATGATTCCGTCTGAGGTTCAAAGAGGAAGAGGAGAAGGAGAAAATGTGAAGAAAGAGGCTTTTAAAAAAAGGGTCTGTTTGCGTTGCGTGTTGTACCCAACGGGGTCGATGCAACAACTGCTGAATGGGAGGGCGGCGCTACCAGATTTATACAGGCAGGGCAGGGGATTTGCTCCTGTGCACGGAGGAAAAAAACGCGTTTACTACCAGCATTTGGTGGCTGATGCAGTTCTGACATAGCTCCTAAGTGTTTTTGCAATTAAATATGAGAAGTACAATATATTAATATTTCAGAAGGCAGCAATGAAATAAGATAAATATAAATATCGTGATTCTTACTAGTGGATATGTAGGTATGTTACGTTTTTTTGTTGGGGTGAAAAATATTCTCATACATTACATGACAAGAACGACTGTCCGAGCTCTTTGCAATGTAAATTTTAATAGCAGCGGCAGAAGAAGAAGTCTGAATTTCATTTCTTTTTCACTGAATAAAGGGCTAATTCAAACAAAGCTCATTTATTATGCATAGAGGCTTGAGCATCTATTATTCAGGTGCGGCAAGCTGCAAATCAATACAGCGCTGTCCTCTTTGGTGAGATTTCGACTGTAAATATTTGTGGATTTTATTGTTTATTTTTTCAGAAATTTAGTGCATTAATATTGATGCTTTTGCTGCATCCACCTCACTGGTGCTGGTATCATCCGGGCACCCATGTTGCAGGAGTCTGCCATGGTATCTGCCTGCCATGCCAGCTCCTCGGCTCTCCTCCCTCTTTGTCCTAGATTCTCTGCAATGATGTCATTCAGTGGGCCGATCACGTGACTGCATGTCTGCCTGTGTGTCTGTTGTTCGGCAGCACCCAGTGTGGGTTGAGCTTCTTCTGGTTCTGTCCAGTTTGAGGAACTGAAATTGGCTGAGCTGCAGTTTATGTGACATAAAAGCTGTGTTAACCTAAATGCCACTAAGACTTAACAGTCTGCAGTTACAACATTAAAAGCCGTCCCTTTAAGCTGTCTGAAAATCCAGTTAAGAATGGGAGTCACCTGAAAAGGCATGTAGCTTAATGCTTTTAAGTAAGGCTGAAAGAAAAAGGGAAAATCCTTGATGCAGTATAAATTAGCAGCCACCTAAATGTGGGTTCTCTCATTAATTATTCAGCAGGGCAGTGAGGATGTATGATTTACAGCCAGCCTTTAGTGGTTGCTACACTCAAAATGAACTGCAGGAGATGAAAGAGAGGGACAGGAAGCAGCAATGGCTGACAGCCAGGACTTCTTGAGAGAACATTCTCCACTCCCCTTCCTCCTCCTCCTCCTCAGCAGCTGTGAGACAGGGAGGGTCTAAGCAGCTGCTCACCAAGAGGAGAGAGGGAGGATGGGAATGCTGTAGAGATGGGAGTGGTCCTTCATGGCGTTGAAGCTTACCGCAATGCATCCTGCAAACTGGGAATCTGATACCCGACAAAGTGACCGAGCATGTTTTCCACCTGTCACAGCAGAGCTCGCATGCTGATGGCTTTAACGCAGGTGCAGGCAGATCGACGACATGGACGTGTATTCATCCTCTAAGACAGAAACAGAGAAGCATTTCGAGCTTTTGTCTGTGTGAGGCTGT